TTCACAGGATGGTATCATTGACAACACAGTTCCTGTGTGAGGGTTCACAGGATGGTATCATTGATAACAGTTCCTGTGTGAGGGTTCACAGGATGGTATCATTAGTTAAAGTCACAGACATCCCTCCTGTCTGGTCCATGGACTTCTGAAGAGCTGTGGTGCCCTCTTTGGAACAATGGGGCAGGCAGACTTCTCTGATGTTTCTTCTGTGGCATTTGCACTATTGGTATGGGATGTTTTCAAAATACAGATGATTTCTCCCTTGTGGTTTCTTTTTTCTTTTTTGCTTGTGTGTGTGTGTGTTGGTACTGGGGCTTGAACTTGAACTCAGGAGCCGGTACACTGTCCCTGAGCTTTTTTTTCTCTCAAGGTCACACTATAACCACTTGAGCCACAGCTCCACTTCTGGCTTTTTGGCAGTTAATTGGAGATAAGAGTCTCATGGACTTCCCTGCCTTGCCTGGCTTTGACCTAAGGGTCACTGTTAGGATTATAGGTGTGAGCCACTGGCACTTGGCTGATTTTTTTACTTTTTGAGACTGAGTCTTGCTGTGTGGCTCAGGCTGGCCTTCAGTTCTTGGGCTCAAGTGATCCTCCAGCTTCTTTCCAAGTGGCTGGGATTAACTGAATGCAGGCCTAGGGAGCCTCACAGACTCTCAGGGTTTCTGGCTATAACTGTTTGGTGGGCCCACATGGAACTTGGATTCTTGGTCCCATATCAGTTCAGGAGATATCAAGAGACAGACCTCTGTCACCTCACAGTGTCCTCAGCACAGGACAAGCCCAGCCCACCTCTCAGTACAGGTTTCGGAAGAGGGACAAGGTGATGTTCTATGGCTGGAAGATCACGAGGAAGGTAACACCCACGCAGGATGTGGGCTGTGGTCAGGCTCCTGAGCTGGCCTCTAGGGATGGGGACATGGTGTTTGCCAGGCTTCCGAGCCCCTGGTCTCTGCGGCGACTCCTCCTCTGGCCCATGGCCCCTGCCTCTGGGTGCAGGATTTGGGGGCTGTTTGTAAGTCATGCTGAGTGTTACCAGTCTCCCCCAGCCAAGCACCGCTGGCCTGGAGGTCAGTTTGAGGAGGACATGGTGCAGAATGACATCAGGAGGGGTGGACATCTGGCTTGAAGTAGTTGAGCCTGCTTCCACAAGTGCCAGGGCACAAGGTCCCTGGGCTCTCTGAAGTACAGTTGTGTGTGTTAACAAGAAAAGAGGGGCTGGGAGTGTGGCTCAGCAGTAGGCTGCTTGCCTAGCATGCATGAAGCCCTGGGTTCCATTCCCCAATACCACACACACAGAGAGAAAAATCCAGAAGTGGAACAGTGCCCAGGTCTTGAGTTTAAATCCCAGGACTGGCAAAAAACAAACAAACAAACAAACAAACAAGAAAAGAGGACAGATGGCTGCTCTTTTCTATGGACAAGGTGGGGGTTCATAGAGCCTCTATCAGGATTCCTGAGGTTGATCTACAGAAGGAGACTAGTCCTCTGGGGCTCAGGGGGCTGCAATTCACTAATGAGCCCTTCAGTGAAAGCTGTGTGGCCCACTTTTCAGTACCTGTGGTAGTTCTGGAACCTTCAAAACACAGATCCTAGCCTGGCACTGGTAGCTCATGCCTATAACCTAACTACTCAGGAGGCTGAGAGCTGAGGATCACAGTTTGGAGCTAGCCCACTCAGAAAAAGTCTCTGAGAGTCTTGTCTCCAATTAACCACCAGAAAACTGTAAGTGGTGCTGTGAGCACTTGCCTTGAGCAAAAAAGCTCAGGGACAGCGCCCAGGCTCTGAATTTAAGCCTCATAACTGACAAAAACCCCACAAAACCCAAAACCAAAAGAACACAGATCCTGATTTACCTTGCACTGAGGTTCAAGAATTAGGGTTTAATGAGCCCATCTGGTAATGAGCAGGCTGAGTTTGAACTCATTTGCCTACGGCCAGCTGTGTCCTAGAGGGTTCCAGGTTTGCAGAAACAGCAGGTATGGAGCCACAAACTCTGAAGGCTGTCTCCTTTGAGACAAGGAGGCTGGTCCTGTGGGGTGTGGGGCTGTGTGCTGCGCCGTGTCCACACTGGTGTTCCCTGTGGTGTCTCTGTCCTAGTGAGCAAGCAGCCAAGCGGGTGTTGGTACAGTCAACCTCCGGCTGCTACCAGGCAGTGGAAGCCGTGGGCAGGCTGGGGGCGGGGATTTCTGGTCCCCAGGTCAGCAGCTTATCCTCTCCCTTGGCTCCTCAGGTGACCATACTCCCACACTCACTGGCTGGGAATACAGCTGCACCCGGCAGCGCTACAGGAAGAGGACCAAGAAGTATTGGGAGTGGGTACCGTGAGGTAAGGAGATTCTCACACCGCCCAGACCCCCCTCCTCAGACACATGGATTCTCACACTGTCCATACTCTTCCTCCTCAAACATGAAGCTGCCCAGAGCTTTAGAGAACTCAGGGACTGGTTGTAGACCCCTGGGTTTTTGCTCAAGTTGAATGTGTCTCTGTTTCATAGGATCCTCCGTTTCAAGAAGGAGTACCCTACCTTGCAGCCCAAGAGCCCCACCTCCCTATTGGAGGCTGATCTCACAGAGTTTGATGTGAATAATTCTCACTTACCATCAGAAGTATTGTACATGTTGAAAAATGTCCAGTAAGAGAGAAGATGGGCCTGGGAGGCCCCGCAGCCGTGGCCCTGGGTCCTCATGGGGCCTAGGGTGGAGGCCTTCGCAGGCCTCTCGCTGGCTGTCAGTGTCAGGTGGTAGTTGGCAAACCTGTCTCTTTTCTGCCTCAGAGCTGCTGGTCTGTGGTTGAGTGTGGTCAGTGGTAGTGGGATGCTTAGCACCATCATTGTAGTGCAGTGCCTGGCTTCGCCAGTAGAATGGGTGCCTTGCACAGTGAAGATGCTTGTGGGTCAGTGTGGCTTTGTGTCTGCTCCCCTCTCACCTGTTCCATTTTATTATTTCTTTTGTGTGAATGGTGGTGGTTGTCTTTCTTTGTCAGTTGTGGGGCCTGAACTCTGGGCCTGGGCGCTGTCCCTCAGCTCTTCAGCTCAGGGCCAGTGTTCCAGCACTTGAGCCACAGCACCACTTCCGGCCTTTTCTGTTTATGTAGTATTGAGGAATCGAACCCAGGGCTTCATGCATGCTAGGCAAGTGCTCTACCACTGAGCCACATTCCCAGCCCTGAATTTTTTGGGGGGACAGGGTCTTTGTATGTTGCCCAGCTTGAACTCACTATGCTGCCTGGGCTTGCCTGGGGTTCAGATCTTCCTTTCTCAGACTTCTGAAATAATGGGCATATGCTATACTATACTGGCCCAGATATTACCCACCCAGTTTGGCAGATGGATCTTCAGCTTTGGCCATGGCATGGTGGGGAATGAGGCTTGAGTCCTTGCAAGGCTTTTCCTACGGCTTTCTCTTACCCTGTCTTCCCTCGGAGTATGTCCCACAGTGCATTCTGCTTGTTTCAGAGTCCTGGGCCACTTTGAGAAGCCACTCTTCCTGGAACTTTGCAAACACATGGTCTTTTTGCAGCTGCATGAGGAAGAGCATATCTTTCAGCCAGGAGAACCAGATACCAGCATTTATATTGTACAGGATGGATGGCTGGAGGTCTGCATCCAGGATACTGTGAGTCAGGGCTGAGGAACTTCAGAAAGAGACTGAGGCTACTGTGTTTTTACTTATCTACCTGTTATCTTAAAACTTGGAACAGTTTCCATCAAAAAGTTAGTACAGGGCTGGGAAAGTGACTTAGTGGTAGAGTATTTGCCTAGCACGCATGAAGCCCTGGGTTTGCTTCCTGAGTTCCACATAAACAGAAAAAGCTGGGATTGGTGCTGTCGCTCAAGTGATATAGTGCTAGCCTTGAGCAAAAGAAGCTCAGGGACAGTGCCCAGGCCCTGAGTTCAAACTCCAGGGTTGGCCAAAAGAAAAAAAAATGTTAGTACAAGTGGGCTGGGTGCCAGTGGCTCACACCTGCAATCCTAGCTACTCAGGAGGCTGAGATCTGAGGATTGCAGTTCAAAGCCAGCCTGGGCAGAAAAGTCTTGAGACTCTTATCTCCAATAAAGTACTCAGAAAAAGCCAGAAGTGGCTCTGTGGGTCAAGTGGTAGAATGCTAGCCTTGAGCACAGAGAGGCTCTGGGACAGTGCCCAGGCCCTGAATTTAAGTCCCAGGACTGGGGTAGGGAGCAGGGGAGGAAGAAGGGAGAGAGAGTACAACTGGAGCTGGGTACTGGTGGCTCACTCCTAGCTACTCAGGAGACTGGGATCTGAGGATCATGGTTTGAAGCCAGCCCAGGCAGAAAAGTCTTATCTCCACTCAAAAAACAGAAGTGGTACTTTGGCTCAAAGTGGTAGAGACTAGCATTGAGCAAAAGGGCTCAGGGACAGCACTCAGGCCTTGAGTTCAAGCCCCATAACCGACAAAAAAAAAAGTACTGGGCACAGGTAGTTTATGCCTGTAATCCTAGCTACTCAGGAGGCTGAGATCTGAGGATCACGGTTCAAAGCCAGCCCTGGCAGGAAAGTTCGTGAAACTCTTATCTCCAATAAACCACCAGAAAACTGGAAGTGGTGCTGTAGCTCAAGCGGTAGATCACTTGCCTTGAGCTGAAGAGCTGAGGGACAGCGCCCAAGCCCAGAGTTCAAGCGCCACAACCGACAAAAACAAAAAACAAAACAAAAAAACAGTACAGCTGGACTCCTGTGACTCACACCTATAATCCTAACTACTCAGAAGGCCAAGAAAGGCCTTGAAACAACAATAACAACTTCTTCTTCTTCTTCTCCTTCTCCTTCTCCTTCCTCTTCCTCTTCCCCTTCCCCTTCCCCTTCCCCTTCCCCTTCCCCTTCCCCTTCCCCTTCCCCTTCCCCTTCCCCTTCCCCATCCCCTTCCCCTTCCCCTTCCCTATCCCCTTCCCCTTCCCCTTCTCCTTCTCCTTCTCCTTCTTCTGCTTCTTCTCTTATTTATTTTGCTAGTCCTGGGTCTTGAACTCAGGGCCTGTGCCCTGTCCCTGAGTCTTTCGGTGTTCAAGGCTAGTTCTTAAGCCACAGAGCCACTTCTGGCTTTTTCTGAGTAGTTTATTAGAGATAAGAGTCTTGGGCTGGGAAGGTGGCTCAGTGGTAGAGTGCTTGCCTTGCATGCCTGAGCTGGAAGTGATGCTGTGGCTCAAGTGGTAGAGCGCTAGCCTTGATCTGAAGAGCTGAGGGACAGGGCCCAGGCCCAGAGTTCAGGCCCCATGACCAGACCCAAACAAAAACAAGAATCTCATGAACTTTCCTTCTTGGGCTGGCTTTGAACCGTGATCCTCAGATCTCAGCCTCCTAAGTAGTTGGAATTACAGGCTTGAGCACCTGGCTCTGTGAGACTTTTATCTCCAATTAACTACCAAAATACCAGAAATGATGCTGTGGCTCAAAATGAGCACAAAAGCTCAGGGACAATGCCCAGGCCCTCCCCCCCAAAAAAAAAAAGTTAGTGCAGAATTTTAGATCCTTAGGGAAAAAGACACACTCTCATCCTCTCATTTAAGCACAGTTGCTACTTTGATTATGGTACATTATCATTTACTGTTATGCACACGTGTACCTATTATTTAAGTGGCTTGGTAGCAATACTTACATTTTGTTGTTGTTTTTGGTTGATCATGGGGTTTGAACTCTGGGTCTGGGCACTGTCTCTAAAGTCTTTCACTCAAGGCTAGTGCTCTACCACTTTGAGCCACAGCACCACTTCAATTTTTCTAACTTTCCTACCCGGGCTGGCTTCAAATCATGATCCTCAGATCTCAGCCTCTTAAGTAGCAAGGATTACAGGCCTGAGCTACTAGATCTTGTTTCTTGCTTGTATTAAGTTATATACTTTGGGTTTCAACTTCAGGGATATGACTGCTGAGTTCAAACCTCGCAGGCTCTTCTTGGTGTTGTGTTGCTCTCTGCAACAGTGGTATCAGTTTATTTGACTGGTGGTGTGTGACCTAGGCCTCCTACCTTATATTAGTATTTAGAGCAGATATTTAATACTTGTGTCATAGTCTCCCCAGACACTGAAGCCTCAGAAGTTCCTGCATGCCCTAATCTTATGAGTGGGCAGTGTACACAACTAATTCCAGCATTATCTTTCCAGGTTTCTAGACCCAAGGTGTTATCTGGGGTGGAATTGTTGATTCTCATGTTGGTAGCTTAGTCTGTGGCTATGCTTGATAGAACAGAAAAAGGACTTTTCACTGGGTGCTTGCAGGTGGCTCACACCTGTAATCCTAGTTATTCGGAGGCTGAGATCTGAGCATTGCAGTTTGAAGCCAGGCTGAGCAAGAAAGTCTGTGAGACTCTTTTCTCCAACTAACCACCAAAAGGGAAAAAAGAAGCTGGAAGTGGAGCTGTGGCTCAAGTGGTGGAACACTAGCCAAAAATTCAGGGACAGCACCACACACATACACACACACACACACACACACACACACACACACACACACACACACACACACGAAAGGCCGTTAATTCATCTGGTCTGGAAAGGTCAGAGCAAGTAGCTTCTAAAGTCACATGGCCACTCTTCTGGTAAGAGAGACTCCTGACTCTTGGTTCAAGGAAAGAAACCAACCAAAGGAGCCGGAGTTGCTTCTCTCTGGCCTTTGAATTGAGTAGGAGTGGCTCATGGATGGTGATGAGTCCCAGACAGGTTCAAAATGAATTTTCCTGGTTTGAGCTGAGATGAAGTTTCTACGGTAAATCACCAAAATTTGTTGTTTTCTTTTTTATTTTGCCTAGTGAAAAGTTATGTTAAAATTCTGTAATTTTTGGGCTGGGAAGGTGGCTCAGTGGTAGAGCGCTTGCCTTGCATGCATGAGGCCCTGGGTTTGATTCCTCAGCACCACATAAGCAAAAAGAAAAAAGCCGGAAGTGGCGCTGTGGCTCAAGTGGTAGAGGGCTAGCGCCCAGGCCCAGAGTTCAGGCCCCACGACCGGACCCAAAAAAAAAAATTCTGTAATTTTTATCTGGTGCCAGTGGCTCATGTCTATCATCCTCGCCATCAGGAAACAGGTCTGAGGACCATGGAAGCCAACCCCAGGCAGGAAAGTATGTGAGACTCTTATCCCCAATACACTACAGCAATTTAGTTGTGGCTCAAGTGGTGGAGCGCTAGCCTTGAACACAAAAGCTCAGGGACAGCACCCAGACAGAGTTCAAGCTCCAGGACTGACAAAAACATCTGCAGTTTTTACTGACAGTAACTAATTTCGTCCTCAGTTTTTGGAGTCCAGCAAACCAATGTAGATCTTATAAACGTTTGCTTGAAGGATGATAGACTTGAGGTGTTGTGACTGTGGCTGTCTTGGGTAGGGCTGCTCTTTCCTTTCCCTTCTCTTCCTCCCTTTCTCCCTCTCCCCACAGGTAGGGGTTATCATTTCTCTTGGCTTCCTAATTTTTTCCCATTCTCTTCTTTCAGCTATTGCATCTTTAATTCTGATTTAGCTAGTCCCCTGACTTGCATTTCACCTGAGCTGTGCCCTCTACTGATGGAGGAGAGGGCTGTGTTCAGCCGTACCAGGGGATGGCTGGGGAACACCAGCCTGGTAGATAGATGTCTCTCCTGGACTGATGGCTGATTGCTTTACACAGGACGGCACTGAGCTGGTAGTCAAGGAGGTCCTGGCAGGTGGCAACGTCCACAGCTCCTCAGCATGCTGGACACATCACTGTGAGTACCCAGGCCTGCAGCAGCCCCTGGCTGCTCCTTGGTCAGCCCCAGTGGCCTTGTTTTCTCTGTCTTGCTTGAACAGCTTATCTCTAAAATTAAAGTCAAGTTCTCCGCAGTGCCTTGAGGGTCTGGCACTCACCTTGACTGCAGTGGCCAAGCCAGCATCCATGGGAACAGTTTCAACAATGTATCTTAAGCAGCCAGACATCTGGATAGTCCAGGCTGAGCTCAAATTTGTAACCCCTCTGCCCAAGTGCTGCTTTTGGCTTTTACTTTGACTTTTCTAGGCTGTATTACAATGTCTCTGGGATAATTAGACAATAGAATGTCATGAGGCAGACTGGACCCCAAATCCAGAGGCTTTGTGTAGAATCTTGTATGGAGCCTGGAAGAGAGGAACACCGTCATCCACCTCTGTGGTTCTGGGTTCACGACATTTTCTTTTATTTTTGTCAAAAACTAGGATGACAGGCATAAGTCACCAGCACCCAACTTAAACTTCATTTTCTGAGACTCCCATTGGATCTTTTTTTTTTTTTTTTTTTGCCAGTCCTGGGGCTTGAACGCAGGGCCTGAGCACTGTCCCTGAGCTTCTTTTGCTCAAGGCTAGTGCTTTACCACTTGAGCCACAGTGCCACTTCTGCCTTTTTCTTTTTATGTGGTACTGAGGAATCGAATTCAGGGCTCATGCATGCTAGGCAAGCATTCTACCAGTAAGCCACGTTTCCAGCAGGTTTTTTTTTTTTTTTTGGTTCTGGGTATTGAACCCAGGATGTGGCACTTGATAGGCAAATGCTTTACCACTAACCACATCCTATCCTTGTCCTCCTTACTTCATGGATGAAGTAAGATGAATTTTTCTGTTCCTCCCTAACATGTCTCCAGCCCTTCTGAATTTCTCTTCTCTGTGGATTTTGGGTCTTTTCTTTCAGATCAGGGGCTCTCCTGTCCCCAGAGATCCGTTTGTGTGCAAGTGGAGCTGTGTGCAGCTGCATCTCGCGGTGCCGTGCAGCGCCAGCAGCCAGGCACGGGGGCTTTTACTGTGTAATCCCACACACATGAGTTCAAATCCAAGCTGCTCCCACATGCTGGAAGAACAGAGGCCAGCCTACCTTACCTCTAAGAGGCCTAGTGGTGAATATTTTGGCTTTATGAGCCACACAGTTCATTGGCAATATACAAATGACTGTGGCTGTGTACCAGTAAGACTGTTTACAAAAACAGGTGATGTGAGGGTTGACTGTGGCCCTCCTGCTTGCTCTGCAGTCAAGGTTGGTGGCTGTTTGGGGAGTCACAAGACAGTTGCTGGAAATGACTCGATGTGTAGTTATTTCAGTTAGTTATAAAGAGAAAAAACTTAAAAGTTGGGCACAAGCCTCCCGTGGATGGTCAGGGTTGCCAGCTCGGGACCTCTTCAGAAGACAGGACAAGAAGCTGGCTTCCTTCTTAGGGTTGGAGGTCTGTGTAGGCGAACTGGCTAATAGCCTGCAAGGGTGGCCTTGGCCTGGAACAGGGAAAGGGTCTGACAGTGCCCTTATTTAGAATGGATGTTCTAGTGTTCAGACATGCCTGCTTTATCTTCCGTGGAGGTGAGCCTGGAGTTGCTGGCCTAGGGAAGAGGGTCTTTACTAGCCTGCTGAAGTTGAGGTGTAGATCTAGCGGTTGGCCTGTGTTAGCATTATCAAAAATTGATTTTTGGACTAGGAATATGGCTCAGTGGTAGAGCGCTTGTCTAGCATGCATGAAGTCCTGGGTTCGATTCCTCAGTACCACATAAGCAGAAAAAGCTGGAAGTGGTGCTGTGGCTCAAGCAGTACAGTGCTAGCCTTGAGCAAAAGAAGCTCAAGGACAGTGCCCAGGCCCTGAGTTCAAGCGCCACAACTGAGAAAACACAAACTTGTTCCATGGAGGAATATAGGTTTTTAGATAGATAGGGAAGAGAGAGAGAGAAAAAAAAAACATGTGGGCAACATGAACACTGGAGTTTGGTTTGAATTCAGGGCTTTGAGCTCTCATTGAGCTGTTTTTTACTCAAGGTTGGCACTTTACTGCTTGAGCCATGACTCCAGTTCTGGCTTTTTTGCTGGGTTAATGGGAGGTAAGAATCTTGAAGAACTTATTGCCTAGGCTGGCTTCAAGCCATGATCTTCAGATCTCAAGTCTCCTGAGCGGCTGGCATTACAAGTGTAAGCCACCAGTATCAGTTAGTAAATGAAAGGCAGGAGTTTGGGGCTTTCCGGTGTTTCCCACCTGCTCAGTGCCAGTTCTTGTTGAGTAAGGCTCCCTCCCTCCCTGGGTCTGGAGGTGAAGAGTATGGTGTTCCAGCACAAGTGCGAATCTTGAATTCTGGGGAAAGGAGAACAATGGGAGGACAAGGTAGACATTAGTCAGTGAGCCAAGCAAGCTGGTAAGATGATTGTTATTAGGCTGCAGGCATTGTGTAGGTGTCTTTTCCTGTTACTTTAGCTGTTTGAGGTACTGGCTTCCACTTTCTGAGCCCCTGGTAGGCCCTACTCCAAGGATCTTCTTTCTCTGTCTTGGTTATCTGTTCTCTACTTTTTCTGTCTTGGCTTTCTGCCCTCCCTCCCTGCCTCCCTGCCTCCCTCTTCCTTTCCTTCTCTCTCTCTCTTTCTTATTTGTCTTAGTTTTCTGTTCTCTATTGTTCTGTCTTTTTTTCTGGGGGGGGGCATCAGTCGTGGGCTTGAACTCTGGACTTGTCCCTGCACTCTTCAGCTCAAGGCGAGTGCTCTACCGCTTGAGCCACAGCACCACTTCCAGTTTTCTAGTGGTTTATTGGAGTCTCATGGACTTGCCTGCGGGGGCTGGCTTTGAATCGCAATCCTCAGATCTCGGCCTCCTGAGTAGCTAGGATTACAGGTGTGAGCCACCGGCGCCCGGCTGCTACAGTTCTGTCTTGGCTTTCTGCTCTCTACTTTCTTTGCTCTCTACTTTTTCTGTCTTGTTTATCTGTTTTCTATGTCTTGGTTATGTTTTCTTTTTTTCTTTCTTTCTTTTTTTTGGGGGGGGTCCAGTCGTGGGGCCTGAACTCTGGGCCTGGGCGCTGTCCCTCAGCTCTTCAGCTCAAGGCTAGCACTCTACCACTTGAGCCACAGCGCCACTTCCAGCTTTTTTCTTTTTGCTTATGTGGTGCTGAGGAATCGAACCCAGGGCCTCATGCATGCAAGGCAAGCGCTCTACCACTGAGCCACCTTCCCAGCCCTTGGTTATGTTTTCTATTTTCTTTGCCTTGGTTATGTTTTCTATTTGCTCTGTCTTGGTTATCTGTTTTCTCTAACTTGGTTTTCTGTTTTCTCTGTCTTGGTTTTCTGCCCTTGTTGGAGGACCCTGTGGGCCATGACTGTCCCTTTTTTTTTTTTGTCAGTTGTGGGGCTTGTACTCTGGACCTGGGTGCTATCCCTGAGCTCTTCAGCTCAAGACAGGTGCTCTACCACTTGAGCCATAGCGCCACTTCCAGCTTTTTCTGTTTATGTGGTGCTGAGGAATCGAACCCAGGGCCTCATGCATGCAAGGCAAGCGCTCTACCACTGAGCCACCTTCCCAGTCCTGGCTCTGGATCTAAATTCTCAGATCTCAGGTTCTTGAGTAGCTAGGATTATTGGTGTAGTCACCAGCACCTGTCTCTTCATTCGGCGCTGACATTCTTTCTGCTCCCTCTTCTGGATTGTTCCCTCAGCCTCAGAGGGAATGTTACATGGTTATCTCCTTCTGCCAAGAGCAAAGCCCTGTCTGCTGTTCCCCAGCTGTGTTACAGAACACAATGTGGTGACACATGCCAAATAAGAGCTCCTCACCTGCTAGGTGCTATGGTGCCTGTCTGTGGTCTCACAGCTTGGAGACAGAAGCAGGAGGAGCACAAGTCTGAGACTAGCCTAGGCAAAATGAGTAGTGAGACTGTATCTCCAACGTGACAAAAGCCAGGTACTCCGGTCTTGAGTATTGGGTGTCTGAGGCATACAATTGTTTAAACTGCCCCAGAACACCTTAGTTTGCCTACAGGCCTTTTGTCCTAATTCCCTGTGGCCTCCCTTTTTTATCAGGTTATACGGGGGAGTTACTGTAGTTGGGAGTTACTGTAGTTAGGAGTTGCAGGACTAGTCTCCCTACATTAGAACGGGAGAGACAGCCCAGAGCTGAGGCCCAGAGGTCATGTGTGCCTGTATCACTGCTATGGTGAGAAATGTAAAATAGGTAGAGCATACCCGTAGGAAACAGGACCCTGTCTCAAAAATAGCCAATAATCAAAGGGCTGGCAGTCTAGTTCAGCTTTACAGTGCCTGCCTAGCAAGCCGGGAGGCCTTAATTCAACAATCCCACCATGGAGTTGAAGGGCCTTGGGGAAGGGATTACATTAGATCAGGTAGTTGGGATGGAAGTCCCCTGGACTGATTATTGATGGCTTTAAGGAGAGGGAAGGAGATTGCAAAAGCAGATACACATGCCTTGATGTGATACAAATGGGGGAACTTCACTACAGCCCCCCAAAATGTGAGTGAAGCATACTTGTTTTTAAAAAAATAAAGCTACCTGTCTAGCTGGGTGCTGGTGGCTCATGCCTATAATCCTAGCTACTCATGAGGCTGAGATCTGAGGATCACGGTTCAAAGCCACCTTGGGCAGGAAAGTCCGTGAGACTCTTATCTCTAATAAACCACCAGAAAACCGGAAGTGGTGCTGTGGCTCAAGTGATAAGAGTGCTCGCCTTGAGCTGAAGAGCACAGTTCAGTGTCCAGGCCCAGAGTTCAAGCTCCACAACTGACCAAAAATCAAAACAAAACAAAACTACCTGCCTCACGTACATTCTTACTGAAAATGAAAAGCTGACTAGTAGATCCATCTGCAAAAACACACCTGAATCCATACCTTGCCTTAACCTAGATGGGTATAAAAGTTTTAAAGAAAATATTGGAGGGGATGAGAAGGTGGTTCAGTGGTAGAGCGCTTGCCTTGTATGCATGAGGCCCTGGGTTCGATTCCTCAGCACCACATAAGCAAAAAGAAAAAAAAAGCTGGAACTGGCGCTGTGGCTCAAGTGGCAGAGTGCTAGCCTTGAGCTGAAGAGCTGAGGGACAGTGCCCAGGCCCAGAGTTCAGGCCCCACGACCGGACCCAAAAAAAAAAAAATTGGAGAAAAATCTGCTACTTTGTTTTACGTGTTATGCAAAGATTTATAGAAATGGCACAAAGTATGATTTGTGAAAGAAAATAATAAAACTAATTCACTGAAGTTAATAATAACCAGAATGAAAAGTCCATGAGCAAGAAGAAGGAGGGGTCCAGGCCCCCCTGAGCTCCCAGCTGCCTCACTCCCTACCCCCAGACCCTCTGCTACGGGATGGCAGAGCTGCCGTGCGCACTCTCTGAGGCAAATATGGTTCCTCTAATGAACCTCATAATAGTCTTCCTCCTGTGCCTGTCTGCCTCCGCGTGGGCTCCTCGCATGGATGTGACAGATCCTTTCATTCTTAAATTTCAAGAGCTCTCTGTATTCTTTGGATACACATTCTTTATAAAATACGTGTTTTACAAATATTTTCTTCTTGCCCATGGACTTACTTTTCATTCTGGTTGTTTTTATTTTTATTATTTTTTTTTGATCTATACATCTATTGTGAGGCATCTGGGCTGTTTGAGGTTTTTTTTTTAAGTCTGCCTTACATGCACTTTTGGCAAGGGGCTACTGACAGCTTTGACAGAGACCAAGGTGGAGAACTGGAGTGGCTAGCCAGGCTTGTGGGTCTCAACAACAGGTTAGAGCAGGTGTGATGGGTTAGGTCTGATGGGGCTCAGCCCTGCTTTTGTTGTGGATTGCTGCAATGATTGAGAATGTCTGTGGTTTGCATCCAAATCACCACTGTCCACAGCATGCCTGGGAATTGCATTGGCCATTCGAGTAGGACCAGGTGGAATCGCGAGGAGCCCTTAGACAACTCCCAGGAGCACTGCAGGTTCTTGGCATGAGACCGATCAGTGTTGTTACTTCTGCTAGTACTACGACTTGAACTCGGCTTCTCACTTGTTTTCTTTTTTGTTTTTGTTTTTTTTTTCACTCACAGCTGACACTCCACTTGAGTTATGCCTCCAGTTCTGGCTTTTTCTGGTTAATTGGAGATGAGTCGTTTAGATTTATGTGCCTGGGCCGGCTTTGAACTGCAATTCTCAGGTCTCAGTCAGCTGAGTAGCTAGGATTATAGGTGTGAGCCACTGGCTTCTGACTTGACCAAACCTTTTTTTTTTTTTTATTTGGTTGGTCATGGGGCTTGAACTCTGGGCCTGGGCACTGTCCCTCAGCTCTTCAGCTCAAGGCGAGCGCTCTACCACTTGAGCTACAGCGCCACTCCCGGTTTTCTGGTGGTTAATTGGAGATAAGAGTCTCACGGTCTCTCCTGCCAAGGCTGGCTTTGAACCCCAATCCTCAGACCTCAGCCTCCTGAGTAGCTAGGGTGACAGGCATGAGCCACCGGCGCCCACCTGTCCTGGCATCTTTCAGATCATCATGGTGCAGCTGCAGAGGGTGACCTTCCTGGCTCTGTGCACCTACCTGGGCCTGACCATGTTGCTCCCCAATTCTGTGAATACAGAGCCACCACCCAGCCCGCGGCTGCCCTCCTCAGGACCTGTGCTGGGCGGACAGCCACAGCCATGGCACGCTTGGTTGTGAGCTGTCAGGCAGGACTCTGGGGAGGCGATGGTGGGCATCGGGGAGTGTCCTGCTTAACCAGCTGCCCTCTGATGTGCTGGAGGACCCTGGGAGTCAGGATTTGGACACGTTTATCTTGCCTTATGGTTGTCCAGTGGGTGTATTGTGCCGGAGAGGTTGGTGCTCTGGAAGAGCATGGTGCCCAAGACTCCCCTCACCCTGCCCCGAACAGAACCTCGCCCCCTACCCCTACCCCAAACAGAGCCTCCCCCTACCCCAAACAGAGCCTCCCCGTCCCCCTGCCACGAGCAGAGCCTCGCCCCCTCCCCCTGTCCTGAAGAGAGCACTGCCCCCTCACCCCTACCCTGAACAGAGCACCGCCCCCCTCACCCCTGTCCTGAACAGAGCACCGCCCCCCTCACCCCTGCCCTGAATACAGCCTCGCCCCCTCACCCTGTCCTGAACAGAGCCTCGCCCCTCACCCCTACCCTGAACAGAGCCTCGCCCCTCACCCCTACCCTGAACAGAGCACCGCCCCCCTCACCCTGTCCTGAACAGAGCCTCGCCCCCTCACCCTGTCCTGAACAGAGCCTCGCCCCCTCACCCCTGCCCTGAACAGAGCACCCCTTCCTCACCCCTGGAGCAGGGACTTCCCCTTAAACTGTTGGACAGCAAGAGGGAGCAGTCCGTTCAGGAAAGCCCTGAAAGGGAAGGCTAAGAGGGGGTGCAGGGCTGGAGTGATTTGAGCAGGACCAGTCCGCGGCCAGGGTTTGCTTGTCATTCCATGGCACATGCCCATGGTGAGGTGGACTAAGGTGGGGTTTGCCGTGCACAGGGCATTTTGGAGGACCATCCGCTGGCCATGTGCTGCTGTGTGCATCCTGCTCCTAGATGTGTCTGCTTGAGCTAGAGCCACACCCGGTGCTCTGTGGGTCCTGCGCTGACTCACGCTCGTGGGGGGAGATGTCCAGCCACCTCTAGGCCTCTACTGAAGAGCAGCTCCTCCCCTCTGCCTTCAGTCCACGGGGAGATCAAAGATGAGCTGGGGCAGCCCCATGCTGGTGACCTTGACCCTTCACTGTCACAAGGTAAGGGGCCCCATCGCAGTCCGGCTGATGTTATGATGGGCTCTGTATGTCCGAGCTGCCATCTTCCTGTACAGCTCGGGGAGGTAGATCCCCTGAACTCGGTGCAGCTAACAGGTGGATGAGAGAGAGCCCACAGGCCCTGAGGAGCCTTAGCTTGAGCTCCACCTTGGGTTGAGTGGGTATCTTTGCACCTCTGTGAAGCCCACTCTACCAGCCCTGTGCTTGGTGCCCTCCGTGCTGGGGTCTTGTGTCCACCTATGACTGGCCACCACTGCTGCACCCTTCCACAGAGGCAGGTTCCCCTCCCCTGGTCTTTCCCCTCCAAACTAAGCTGTTCACATACATTTAGCCCTTTCTCATTTGCAGCCTAATGCTGAGAGGTCCCTGTGTTCTGCTTTCCATCCTTCTTGCCCTGGTCTCCCCTATGTTCAGCTTTTGGATCTCAATTGCAGCCTCAACCGGGCCCTTTGGGCCATTGCTATGTCATCATCAGCCAGCAGGCAATGCTCCTTAACTTTTTCCTTCCTTTCTTATCCCTGCTGAACCCCCGCTTGCCAGTGGCCAACATGGAACATGTGGGTGCCCAGCCCCTATTTGTGCTGCTGGCCCGAAGGCAGCCATGTGTGTAGCTCCAGGGATCCCTGCAGCGACTCTGGCAGTGCATCCATGCTGCCCAGCCTGCTCACTGACATCACCTCGAAGCTTCATAACCCGATTCACCTGAAGGTAACCAGATTTCCTTTTCCAAAATTGTCTGATGATATATATATATATGTATATTGTTAGTCCTGGTCTTGAACTTTGGACCTTGGTACGCTCCCTGAGCTTCTTTTGCCCAAGGCTATCACTCTACCACTTGAGCCACAGCACCACTTCTGGCTTTTTCTGAGTAGTTTATTGGAGACAAGAGTCTCACAGACTGTCCTGCCTGGCCTGCTTTGAACTGGTTGCTTAAGTAACTAGGATTATAGGCATGAGCCACTGGCACCGGGCTTGGTTTCTTTTCTTTTTATTATTTTTTATGACAGCCTGGGACTCTAAGGTCTGGGTCCTGTCCCTTAGCTATTTTGCTCAAGGCTAGCACTGCCATTTGAGTCACAACTCCAATTCTGGCTTTTTGGTGGTTAATTGGAAATAAGAATTTCAAGGACTTTCCTACCCAGACTGGCTTCAAACCAAGATTCTCAGATCTCAGTTTCCTGAGTAGCTAGTCATGCAGGTTTGAGTCCCTGGCCTGGCTTTACTTTTTGTGCTGTAGTAGAGATCCCTTCTCAGTCTTCTTGTTAGTTTTATTTTCAGTAGGCTCACTCCAGGTCAGGCTGGCCAGGAACTCATTATATTGCCTAAGTGAGTCTTTTTTTTAAATTAAATTAAATTAAATTTTATTTTATTTTTTTATTGTGAAAATACTGTACAGAGGGGTTACAATTACATGGGCAAGGTAATGAGTGCATTTCTTACCAAGCATTGTAGCCTCCTCCTTTGTTTCTTTCTTTCTTTCTTTTTTTGGTGGGCTGTGGGGCTTGAACTCTGGGCCTGGGCACTGTCCCTCAGCTCTTCAGCTCAAGGCGAGCGCTCTACCACTTGAGCTACAGCGCCACTTCTGGTTTTCTGGTGGTTTATTGGAGATAGGAGTCTCACGGTCTCTCCTGCCCGGGCTGGCTTTGAACCATGATCCTCAGATCTCAGCCTCCAGAGTAGCTAGGATTACAGGCGTGAGCCACCAGTGCCTGGCTCCTCCTTTGTTTCTAAGTGAGTCTTAAACACGTTTGTCCTGCCTCGGCACCCAGTGCAGGTATGTGCCATGGTTTCCTCCTTGGTCTTAATTGTTGCAAACACTCTTCTCCATCAGTCAGAAAACTAGCTTTAGAGCCGTCACGCGTCAGGAGCCCTCAGTCTTCCTCTATTGAAAACCAGCCACCGGCACCTTGTGGTTTGTGTTTTGTATTTAATCATCCTTTGCTATTCCTGGTGCATAAATGTATTCTTCTGGATTTATTTTTATTATCTTCCACATCAGAGTCTTTCATTCACACTTATGTTTTGTGAACCATGTGTGAGAAGTAGAAGTCAGCTTAATGTATGTGATGATAACTTACCCAGTAACAAAATAGTTGCTGCCTTTTATTTAGCCAGTCCTGGGGCTTGAACTCAGGGCCTGGGCTCTGTCCCTGAGCTTCTTTTGCTCAAGGCTAGCGCTCCACCACTTGAGCCACAGCACCACTTCCAGCCTTTTCTGTGTATGTGGTACTGAGGAATCGAACCCAGGCCTTCGTGCGAGCTAGGTGAGCACTCTACCACTTTCTCAGCCCAGTTGCTGCCTTTTGGTAGAGTGCCATCTTCTTTTAGTTTTCAAGCTTCTGAACCTGCATGGATTTTTAAAAAAGTAATAGCTTTTTTGAGATGTAGTTTATATATTATAGAATTTACCCTTTGAAAGTATACAATCCAATGAGTTTTTTTGTATATTCACAATTATTAAGGAATCACCGCCACCCAAGTCTAGGACATTTTCAAAATAAAGAATCTCACACCACTAGTGTTTATTCCTCTTTCTCCTTTCCAGTTCCTTACAACCATTGATTTTAACATGTTTTCATGAAATACCTTGACTTGGACATTTTATAAATTAGATTACATAGCCTGACCTTTGTCTCACTAAGTTACTCTTTAGTTTGTGGTGGCATTGGGGTTTGAACTCAGGGCCTTGCTCTTCCTAGGAAGGGTTCTACCAACCCTAGCTCTGTTGTTTGTTTTTGTCAGTTGTGGGGCTTGAACTCAGGGCCTGGGCACTGTCCCTGAGCCTCTTTGTGCTCAAGGCTAGCACTCTACCACTTGAGCCATAGTGCTACTTCTGGTTCTTGAGTGGTTAATTGGAGATAACGAGTTCTCACAGGCTTTCCTTTCTGGGCTAGCTTTGAACTACATTCCTCAGATCTCCCTCCTGAGTAGTTAGGATTATAGGTGCGAGCCACCAGTACCCTCACCAGCTGTTGTTTTTTGCTGGTTACTTTGGAGATGGAATCCAACAGATTTTTCTCACCAGGCTGGCCTCAAACTACTATCCTCCAGATCTTCACCTCCTGAGTAGTTAAGATTACAGGCGTGAACCATGGGTGCCCAGCTTTACTATGTCATTTTAATTTTTATTAACTTATTATAGCCATATAGTATTTATATGATATGCATATCACAAATGGCCAGTTTGATGAATTTTCATAAAACTTAGTAGATGAAAAGCAAAGACATCAGCCACTCTGACCACACATACTTGTGCTTCGTGTTCCCACCATTGCTTACCTGCCATCTGATTTCTAGAGTATGGGTCAGCTTTGCCTAGTTTTCTTTGTAGAAAAGGGAGGATGTGGTATGAACTTGTTTGGACCTGACTCCTTTTGTTCCATGCTGTTTCTGTGACACTCATGCACCCTTGATGTGCAGTTCATCTTCACTGTGTCCATTGAGCAAACATACATGTTTCTGTTGGAGCTCTGGTCATGGAGTACTTGTAGTGGTGTGGGTGCGGTTTCCTGACAGTTCTTGGAGCACTTCACTGCTCACATTACACTACCCCCTAAGAAATTCTCACTGCTTCAGACCTGGATGTAGTTATTAACATTAAAATACAATGTTTCCCTCAGTTACGCTAGCACATTTCAGGTGCTCATTGGCCATATGTAGACAGTGGCTGTCTTTAGACAGTGCTAGGGTAGAACCAAGTCAGTCTGTAGGTGCACTGTTTTCCTTTTTTGTGTGGCACTGGTCTTGGGGCTTGAGTGCTTTTCCTGAGCTTTTGTGCTCAAAGCCAGTATTCTACCACTTGAGCCACAGCTCCACTTCTGGCTCTCTTGGTAGTTCATTGGAGATAAGCTTTGAAACTACTACTCAGCCTCCTGAGTAGCTAGAATTATAGCTTTAAGCCACTAGGGCCCAGTAGCTTTTATCTTTAAACATTATAGTTGGACCAACTTTGCATATTCATATGTCTTAAAATAATGTGTACTAAATCAGAGAAGTCTAGCATCTTCAGAATTCTATGGAAGGGGGCTGGGAAGGTGGCTCAGTGGTACAGCGCTTGCCTTGCATGCATGAGGCCCTGGGTTCGATTCCTCAGCACCACATAAGCAAAAAAGAAAAAAAGCCGGAAGTGGCGCTGTGGCTCAAG